TATGTGCACGGTGCTTTACAGTTGGTTCACCTTGAGCTCCATAGTTCCTGCATGCAGAGGCACTCCTGATCACTCATTACCCCCACCTTCCTCATCCTCTTGCCGCTCTGCGCAATTTCACGCTCCTAGCAATTTTCCATCCTCCTGAGCGCATGCTCCGGCCGCGCCAGTTTGTTTCCGGGAATATCAGTTGAAAATCTTGGAGGATTCAGCCCCCGATACTGCGTGTTTGACCGTTCTTGGAAGCAGACTGCTCACACACATCCTCCTCGGACCCCGTCGCACGTAAGAGAGAACAAAGGGCTGTGAGTTTTGTATTCCTATCGGTGTGTTATCGCCCTTAATTAGAGCTTACCGCCAGAACACTTTCACCCTTTGTGCTGGTGGTGCGTGTGTGTTTGCTCTGCGGCGCACAGCCGACGGCGCCAGGTTTGACGGAATGGTTCACCGTTGCATCACGGCACACGCCTCGTCATGTCACCAGGCCTTTGCTGTGCGGAACGCGCCGGTTCGATCGCAGTCCCGTGCAGAAGGCTCGTTAGGCACAAACAAATTGTTGGAATTAATTATCTAAATGTGCTCCCGGAATGAATCGAGGTTCCATTCAGGACACGAATGGTACCGTCGTTGTGTGCCACCGACCGATGCCTCTCCCCTCTCCTCCCCTCCTCCCAGGAGACATTTAATACCATTCTTCCTCACCCGGTTGTACTTACCCTCCCCTTGCGCTAGGGAAGGCCCAGTGGGAACCGCCACATGGGAGGGAGGGTGCCGGAAAATTGGGTGAAACGGACGCGTTTGTGTCGTTCATCTCTCTCATGATAAGAGGGACGTACATAGACGCGGCATGGACGTTCATCCCGCTCACACTGCATTCGCAAATGCTTTCATAGTTATTGAAAATAAATTTTGGGGGTTTGGTAGTTCTCACACATGTATATATTTTTGCATTAAAGCTGCTGCTGAAGGTGCCTTTGTCTATTTTTAAAAACCTTTTTTGTTAAACGACGTGCTTACAGTTTTTCCACAAAAACATGGCAGTGTATTGCCTGTATTGGTCAATCAATACATTGGCCTCGTCTCTCAACTTTCTCAAGGCGTTCTGTCGCGGCCGATAGGGCCCTCCGCCACGCGTGTCCCCAGTGATTGATCTGCATCCATTTTCCGCAGCAGATCCCGTGGCGCTGCGGAGGGGAGGGGGAAGGGGGTTGACTCCACTGTTATGGTATCAAATTTGTCATCATGTCTGCTCAGCTGAGTAAGGAAAAAAAACAGAGTGCAGAATATCACATAAAAAAGTAACCCCCAGCCCCAGCTTTCTCTCGTGCGACACCGGGTGGAGCTGGCGCCCTGTCAGCGTGCGTTTTTACCTGTTTACATTGATGAATCCCTTCCTTGTCCTGCGGGAGCTAATGACAATGACTCATCTGGCTACTTGTCTAGGAATATTTGTCAGAATGTGTTCAGCGGGACTAAAAGCATCCATGCCTCGTAGTCCGCATTCACAATGCATTTTTTTAAACTTTTGAGGGAAACTTTTTGTTTTTGAGTATATCTGAAATTGTAAAATTAAATCCCGTTTCATTCCTTCCCTGTCACCTTTATAATCTCCGTCCGGTAATGATCCTGTGGAGGATGCCCCACCTCCTCGCCTGCCTGCACAGGAGGTGTCGGTTCTGTCGGAAAACTCCCGCATTATCCCTTCAAAATACCCCACGGGAATGGATTTATAGTCCGAGGCCCTCTAATGCTAGGCTACCGGCTAAGCCCTTGTTGGTTCTTGTTGGCGCCGCCCTTGACCGCTAAGCGATTAAATCTTCCCCGATATTAATTTTCCCTTCCGGATGCTCTCATGAACGGCGTAATGGGCATTCGTTGCAGGAGGTAGTGTTTCGCTCGTCACGCGGGCGTAGCACCGCAAGGACCTGTGACATGACACGGCCCCACGGCCCCGCCATTGACGACCCCTTGCTTTTGGTTCCTGTAAACACTCGTTGGATTTACGAGGCAGACACTCGCTAAAACTCTCTGCGTACTGCAGACGATCCTCCTCCCCCTATGACAGAGGAGGCGACCAGTATTGTGCCTCTGCGGGTGAGGGACAGAGAAGGGGAAAGAGGGGGACGTAGCCTATTACAACAGTCTTGACTCTTGCCAACCCTATCGACTTTCTTTTATACGATGAGCATGAAGCATAGTTGGACATAAATTTACTACTGCGATAAATAAATTCCAACAAATGTTTGTCATTTCGAAATATGCCATACATTTTTAAAGCTATTGTTTGCAGTGTACAGCA